CTGTATTCTGCATTCTTTATTCTGTATGTAGCGCCCCATAGAAATGGGTGGTAATGTTACAGGGAAAAGTGGAGAGTTTGTGGGTGTTAGTATTGCGAGGTGACGTTCATATTATGCCCGATGCACCCGCGTGTGTGTGTGGTTTTAAATGTGTTCTTTTCCTATGGGTGAGATGTTTTTCTGTGTATTAAATTGATTGTGGGTTTTTTTGTCTTTATGCATAAAGGAGAACATTGTGATCAAGGTACAAATTGGTCAAATGTATTGTTTTCTTACTGTTTAAAGTGTAAAGTGATGGCCTGGGGAAACATGGAAGGGACTTAAAAGAGCATTTTTCTATATATATGTACATTTTTCTTTCCTTTCTCCCCCCCCCTTCAAATTGAGAGTGTGATTCTAATCCCCCCTGTAGTGGCATTGACTCATTATATTTTATTATTATATATTAATTGTAAGGGGTGTGTAAAAGGCAAGTATTGGAAATTGGGAAAATCTTAGGGAATAGCTTAACATTGAGCTACCCAGGACCTCTTCCAGTGTGCACACCAGGTCGAGAATTATACCTTAGAAAAGTGGATACGCATATGGTGGGCAATCCATCCATAGAGGATATTTCAACCCCCCCCCATATCCTGGGCTACAGGGGGCTTGGGTCATTTTGCTAGGTGGAGGTTTTAAACCTCCACCTAGCTAGGTGTTTTTTTAAACCACAATGTTTTATCTTTTCTAACCTTGAGAGAAGGCCAGGATTGTGATAACGGAGGAAGTAATTTAAAGTCATTTAAATTATAGCAAATGTTCTCAAAAATGCATGGGAAAAAGTCTATAAAAGTATTAGTATACAGAATTACATACATACTCAGGATACAAGTATTTAGTATTTCCAGTATTTGCCTCTTAAGAGGTTAGAGAACTAAACTTTCTTCAGATAAAACCCAATTTTGTCTGTCCTTAACCAGGTACAACCCCATGTTTTGTATGATACAGAAATGGAAATTCTGAGTGCAGATCCTTAACTTTAAACTTGCTTTGCAACATAAATCAACCTCAAGACATCGGAGTCCAGCATTTAGGTGCTGCTAGTTGTGGGGGTTCTGCCTAGTGAGATCTTCCAGATGCAGTGAATCCAATAAAGTATTAATCTTATTTGTATAGCCTAAATTTCAGTGTCACTGTAAAATTACAATGAGAACCATAA